ATATATATATATATATATATATATATATATATATATATGTATTAGGGACTTGGTTTTTGGCCAACATGTCTGCGCTGTGGACATATTTCAATATATCTGAGAAGATCCCGGATACTGATATGCAAAACGTGAAATGCTGAAATTCTGTCAGCACACGTTTCACTGAGATCTAGTCTGATCCCCTGCACTTATTGGGACTGCACTTGATCTGCGTTCAGATCATTACTTGGATGTGGGGATAAAGCAGTGTACATGAGAAATGATACAGGCTGCGATCGATGCAGAGAATCTGTTTGGAGATAGAGAAACTCACAGCACAGTAGAAGTAGAGCAGTGTGCCAGATGAGGGGCAGGCACCCTTGTTTTCTGATATGTTTTGTGAGATCCTGCAAGAGAGTTCCTAAAATAATAATAATAGGTAGGCTATTATGTTCTTCCTATGTGACTTTTCAGTTGACTTTATTTCTCTACTAGACATTTGACACTTATTAATTTATTATTTATTTATTATTAATGTATGCAATCACAGTGTCTTGGTTTTAGAGAAATTTAGTTCACATTCATAGCCATTAATGCAATAGTACTAATAATACTAATAACTAGTAATAGTAATAATTTATTTTGGTGTTTTGGTTAACAGATGTAAGTCGCTTTGGATAAAAGCGTCTGCTGAATGTATTGTAATTTAATGTAAATTAACACACTGGTTGTAAGTCTAAACACAAAAGTGGTGAGGTGTAAACTGAGAAAGGTAATGAATGTGCTCAGAACTAAGATGCATCTCCAGGTGTCTTATTAAAATGGTTGTAAGGCAACAGAATGGATCTTACAGTAAGGCTTGCTCCTGTCTTGGTCCCTGATGTTGAAAATACCTCTGCTGACACTGTTGAACTATAAACTACTGTGAGGACAAAGAGACTGCGGTAAGAAAACGTGAAATGCCACCTAACTGGTGCAATCATGTTAGCTGAAGAATGAGGTAACATGGACCTAGTTTTCAGTTATACGTTTGTAAAACCGTTGCATATTCTTTTGCACAAAGGATCACCTCTGTTTTTCACTCTGGGGACAATGGTCTTTGGGTTTCATGCCTCTCCATTTATGGGCAAACAGTTCTTTTTCTGTCTAAAGTCTGACTGAATAATAATAATCCAAATGTGACTTTTCTTAGTCAGGAGTCCATTTCATTGCAGGAACATTGTGACCTTGAATTCAAGAAATATGAAATCATTCGAAACAGTAATTCCAGTTTACTGAATGTTTCTTTGGGTTTTTTTTTTTTTTTGTTCTGTGACACTTTTTGATATTACTTCTATCTCCAGGTCTCTAAGATTTTTGACAATTTTGTTGCCACAGTGCTTTTACAAGTAGATGTTCAAACTCTTAAATAATTCTTATATACTATTATATACCATTTATGCAGGCAGCCATCAGTTTAAACAGACTGGTTTTGGTATTTATTGCTACCTCTTTACAAGTCAATCAGTTTTTGAAAAAATGATTTCATTAATTTATATAAAGTAGAGCAGGAAATATTACTCAATGAAGGTAATACATTTGGAAATTATGTGTATAAACTCCTTGCTCTGCACAAAATAATTTATGATAGCGACATGGTAATTGGAAAAATGAATTATCCATTTACCCCGATTACAGAAAATTAAATTCATAGAAACAGTTATTCTAAATAATTCAGTATATATACAGGGGCCTTGTAAGCTGAGATTTACAACAAGCAGAAAATGTGTGAAGGAATAATTTAAAAAGAGGATTTCTAAATTAATAAATTAATAAAAAATTAGAAAGGCTGTTGGAGGACAATTTCATCAATATGGTCAAAAGACAGAAATAACAGACTGAATACAGAGGAAGTTAAATTACAAACAAAGATGGAACAATGATTCAGAGAAAGAAAAGAAGAGTTAAGCTACGGAAATAAATGGTGATGACAAAAAATAAAACAGAAAATGTTGACTTACATGAGACTCCAAAACCACTCTTTTCTTTGGACTTCTGAAACAATGAACCTTAGGTCGGAGGGAGGGGATGATGAAATGGATACAGAAAAAGGAAAGGAAGAAAAACAAACAAAAAAAAAACCAAACAGGTCAAACAAAATGGGACCAACATGAGGGAACACAAATATATATATAAAAATACTTCCTACTTAAATCCCACTGTATGTGGGATCAAACAACAAAATGTTTGAGATGAGATTTAAAGACCTCACTGTTATGTCACTCTAAATGGTCCACTTAGGACAAAGGGGGGTGGGGGGTTATTATGACACAGATAAACTGCTGATGATCAGATGAATAATTGAAGATCTGGTGTATAATTAATAAAGACCATATAGAACAACTAGGCCTTAAAAGCTTCTTTGCAGAAGTAGATGAGACAAAGAGATGCAACAAAACAAAAATAAAAACATCATCCTGTCAGAAATGACTGTGGTGCTCAAAGGAGATAAACTGGTTTTGAAATGAAGGGATTTTGGATTTTACACTTGCAACAGGAAACTGTGTTACACAAAAATGCATCCCAAAAACATGAAATTTCCAATGCCAGGTGATTTCTGTGACAGTGGTTAAAGCTTAAAAACATCTCAACACCTTTTTGCTTTTTACTGTTTACTAGAAGACATGTTTTTTTCATTCTATTCCCCCTGTGAGTAGAAGAGTAGCACAGACTCATAC